AAGGTCCCCATTCTGCAAGGATCTCCATGGAGATATCCATACCCTTAAATGATCCCCATTAATTTCATTGGGATCTACATAGATACAGAGTTTGTCTATATACAACGTTTTGCAGGATCGGGGCCTTACAGAATTCATATTCTGAACTGTTAATCTTGCTGAAGCCTCATCAGTATAAAGAAAAGGAATTAGAAGTGTGTTTCTTTTGCTATTTTAGTAAAACGTGTTCATGTTGGCCAGTGAAACGACATTTTATTTCCTGCTATTAGTGCATGGAAAAGCTTCTACATTTTTAAATACAAATGTCAAAGAATCACAGAAATTTAGGACTGGAGGGGACTTCTTCAGATCCCCTGCACACAAAGCAGGATTATTTCTTTTGTTGCAATTTAAGCCCATTTCTTCTTGTCCTACTTTACATTCCTCCACACTACCTTCATTTAAAGACAAACAAATCTAAAATTTGGCCTAAATAACTCGATAACTTCCATATAAGAATACAATTATTTGCACTATATAAAACTTGGAAACATTTTAAATATTAGCTTTCCACCAAGATTGAATTCCAGTGGCCTGATCCTGCAAATAACTATGCCCCTGAAATAATTATGCTCAAGTGCATAGTTCCAACTGAGATTATTAGCATGACTAAAGGAACCTGGATGTATTTACAAAACTGGGTTTTAACGAAACACATTTAACAAAAAATATAATATTGTTCTAGACTGTTATGCTGATGCTGTAAATTAACTTACCTGCACATTTCCTCTTTAAGATTCCCTTCATTTTTCACAGCTATGTTATTTTCCTCCTTCACTGTTGACTTTGCTCCTTTTTGCCTTGAAGATCTACCTGGCAGTCTATGAATTCCAGTGTCACAATCTTTTTTCTTCTTTTTATTTCCAGCAGGAACTTTTGAGAGACATTTCTTCAGACTGGGCTTTTCTCCTTCAAAATTATCTGTATTAGATCAGAGGGGAAGGAGATATGTCAAAAAGTGAAACCATAGCTCCACAGAACTCAGTCAATAAAAAAAAAAAAAAAAAAAAAACTCAACAACTTCAATAGAGCTAGCATATCACTCACAGGCTTCAGAGGAAAATGCAGGTTTTGCATTTTCCTCTGCAGCCTGTGAACATATTGAACATATTGTCCTAGAAAATAATTTTCATAAATATGCAGCATTAAGCAAAAAGTGCATTTGAAGCAAAACCATCATGGAAATTTCACAGCCCCAAATAAACAAAATGGATACTATCTGCCCTTATCAATAATGATGGATGAAAAATAAATATTCTACTCACCTACAGCCAGAGTTACTTTTCCCAGACAAGTGGAATTTTGCAAGACTGATTTAAATCACCTCTTTTATGAGGATTCTCTCAACAATAGTAAGATGCTTTCCTCATCACACCTGGATCAAACCACTGTGCCCATTGCGATGGGTACATTAAGTGCATATGAGATTAGAATGATGGGCAGAATTCCCTAATGAAATGTGCAAAGTTTTCCTCCTTTCTAGAATATGGCATGGTTTAACAGAATTGGTATCCATTATATAGGAAAAGTTATTTTAAATGTAAGAAGTTTCAACGTGACTTTGTAAGGAAAAAAATGCCACTTATCTAATTCAATATGGGTTATTCAATATTCCTGGGAGGATGCTGGTGTCCAACCTAACATACAGATTGTTCCTGGAAACACTCACAAACAAGATCAGTCTATTCATGCAGGTAGCTCCACTGAAGTCAATGCATGAGTGATGGAGCTAGTTGCATAAAGTTGCTTAAGTGTTTGCAGAATCAGGGCCACTACCACAATGCATTCTTGGTCAGTATAGTAGAGAAGGGCAGCAGACGTAATTTTGAAGGAGCTGATTTTTTTCCAAAGCTGCATTTTGTCATTTACTAGCTGAATATTCCTCTGCTTGTGACTATGTCTGACATTCAGCTCATTACTTAATAATGATCCCATTTTGGAGAAGGTTTTGCAGGTCACTTTTAAGATGTTTTTATTTTCTAATAAGCAGTGATTATCTGTTGTAAACATACAGCTCCTGGAAGTCTGAGAGAAGCAAGAAAAGTGGAGAGAGATTTCTGATAATGTTATAGTCTTATGATTTTTATGCCAATCCCCATACATTCCAGGGGGTCTGAGTCACATTTTTGAACATCTGGGTCTGGCAATACTGCATTTATTGCTGGACATTCACAATGGGCCCAATTCTGAAAGCAGTAATATTGGTTCAAACCCAATGAATTTTTTAAAAAGCAACTTTGAGAGAAAATGTACTAAGGAGAGTGGTTTTCGTACTTTAAATATTTGTTTTAAAAAGGCACTAATATTGTGAATCGATCCATGACACCACACTCTTAGGCCCTAATGGCCTCCAGTCTTTAAAGGGGTTTTGCATATACACAAGGGACATTAACGTATACATATGGGGAGCTAGGGGAAGCTCCTACATGCATGTAAATGTGTAACAGCTGAATTTTTCAGTGGTTACATGTTTACATAAACACATTTTAACATCCCTAATCAAGAGTTCAACAGAATTCAATCAAGGCCTACAATGACTCTAAAACCATTATTTCTTGAATGGTGTGTTTTTGAGAGGCCTGATTTCCTGAGGCCTCCAGTTTCATTGACCAGGAGTTAAGCATTTTGCAAGATCAAATCCAATACAGCAGATAAAGCAGTTAAAAACAAAACAAAAAAAACATCACTCTGAAAATGTAGCATTTCATAGGGCTTCTTCTAAATTAAGGAATGAAACAGACTGCTTGAAAGTCACACCACATCATCTTCAACAACTATGTGAAATCTAGAGATAAATACTAAATGAAGATGTGGTGACAGAAATACTAACTATAAGCCTCAATGTTAGATGCACAAGAAATACAGAATTAGGATTTAAGATTATATTGTGTTCCCTTCAGTTAGTCTTTTCCACAAACACATATACAATCAAATTCTACCATTATTTGCATTAAGAATGACCTGAATTCCATGCTTATATTTTACATAAATAATACCCTAAAGATATGCTGAAATTACATGTATTTATTAAAGCTGCCAGCAGTACTCTATCCAGAACCTTTAATTTTTCTTAGCTTCATCAAATCATTTGATCCTCCCTCTTTCACTGTAACAAAGGAAATGTTTAGAAATTGTGGATTGTTTACTGACAGCACTAGAAACTTCTCTCAAGAGAAAACTATTTTGCTTATGTAACATTGAAATGTTGACTGTAATGGGGCTGGAAAGAAAAGCTAAATCAGTCATCATCACATTATACAGTATAAGGGACAACAGATCAGCAGATGGAGTTAAACACCACAAAGAACACTACACTATTTAGTGGCTATGCAAAGAGATTGTGGTTTTAAAGGATTTCATCTGCTGTTTAATATTTCAAAAGCTTTATTTTAGTAAGCTCAAAACCAGCAAATAACTGAGACAAGAACAATTCTAAATAAATGTTTCATTTAAACAAATCCTATAAAAACCCTACAGAAAAAATGTCACAAAATAAATACAGCTATAAATAAACAATATCAGAGAAGTTTGATTTATTCTTCACAGTCTACTGTAATTAGAAATGCACATTGGACAGTAGGCTAGAGGATTGCGTTTAAATGAGAGGAGAGTCTAACAAGACAAGTGAGATTTTAAATGTCCCATTGAAATATGTAGCAAAAATCCTTTATCAGCACAGAGGAATGATTTAAAAGTCATTTTAAAGTAATTCCAAATGAGCATGTTATGTGAAGGGGAAATATTCCTCCAAATGAATTTTCCACCCCCAATCTGCCATCTAAGTTCCAGGGGCTGCTTCTCTTTGATAGTATATTCTCCATGATGCTTATGCAACTGCTCGCAACAGGGTCTGGCTCAAGAAAGTCTTCGTCTACACTCACCCTCTCCTTCTTGCCTGAGAGTTTGGAGGGCCCTGGTGGCTGCTGCAGCAGGCTCTGCCTTGAATTTCTTGCTGCTAGCCTCTTGCTGCAAGGAACCTTTGCGCTTCTTGGCCATGCTGTTTCCTCAAGGCAAGGGGGGCAACCACAGACTGGTGAGGGACACAAAGCAAACCCAGCGGAGATGAAGGCAGCCTCCTTCTCTGGGTGAGGCCTTTGCACGCTCTCCCCACCTCCGAAGCGTACGTGCACCCTGAGCCCTCCTCCTCCTCCTCCTGGAGCTGCAGGAAGGCTCTGGGGAGGCTGGGCTAGCACAGCCGGCTCCTGCCTCAGTCTCCTCCTCCTGCCTGACGTCTCTTCCGTCCCGGCCGGCCGAGAGGCAGTCCGCAAGGGCGGCGGATAGCGCCCGTGGCTGCCGTTTGTGCAGAGCTGCCTGGGCGCTGCAAAGGCCTGTTGGGCAGTGATCACCCATGGCCCCTTCTTGGCCGGGGCTGCTCCCAGCGTGCCCCCGAAGCCCAGCCTGGGCTCACGCCGTCCTCAGTTCATGCCCCGGGGGGAGCCTGCGGGCCGGGGCTGGAGCTGTACTCCGCCCCCACTGTACGCCAGTCCGGGGGCACCGCTGCACTCGGCACGGGCCTTAGGCCGGCTCTCGCGCCCACGGAGCCATTACCCATTAATTCCTAAGGAGCCCGGGCGGGTGCCTCAGTTTCCCCATCTGTAACAACATGGGGCACCCGCGTTCGCTTTCCTTCGCCACGCCGGGGGGGGGGAGCTGACAAGCACATCGACAAGCCCCCCCGGTAACGGAAAGGTGGGGGGAGGGAACTGAGGCACAGCTAGGCCCTGTGACCACAGTGGGGAGACGCGGAGGCACAGCCGGGGCCAGGGGCCAAATTCGCAGACCAGCGGGGGAACCACGTGGCACGAGCCCGAGCGGTCCGCACACAGCGCCTGCTCCGCCAAGCCCCGCCCCCACCACCCAGCGTGAGCAACGCACCGGCCGCTCTAGCCTCCCTTGGAGGCCACCCCCCCACGCCAACCGTGACGTCGCCACCCGCCGTTTCTACGCGCCGGCGTCGCGCGGGAAGAGGCGGGGCTCGCGTTTGAAAGATGGCGGACGAGGTGGACCAGGTGAGCGGCTTTTCCTCTCCTCGCCGTTCGGAGCCCGCGCGAGCCCGGGGGGGGGGAGGGGCGCTTCGGTTCTCCCCTTGCCCTGGGATCCCTCCCGTCTGGTCGCCGTTGCTCTCCGTAGCAGGGACGGTTGATGAACGGGGCTGGATGCGCGAGCGCCTGTGGGGTCTCTCCCTCTTGACTCCCCAGTTTCCCATGTCCCGGCCCTTCCCAACTTGCCGCTCACAGTGTAGCGGAACGGCGGCCCTCCAGCAAAGACACGCTGCATACGGCTCCCTCCATAGCGCGCCCCTCCCCGCCCCTGAGCCCCAGCTCAGCCCATGGGGGCTTGAGCAAGCGTGACCGGAGATGCTTCCGTTTTCCTGGTCTGCCGAACTAAGGCAGAGCAGGCAAAGGGTTAGGGTTTCAGAAAGCTGCAGCCTTTGACTTGAGACAGGCTCCATAGTCCCCTGTGGAGCAGCAAATCTTTAACCTCTCAGTACTGCAGCTTACAGCAAAACGTTTCCTTCTGTTTCAGTCTTCATTAGGTTGATCTTTGCCGTTAATTGCGTGATTGAAAAACATCTAACATCTCTGTGGTCTTAAGTGTCATTTCAGTGCTGGTTTCAGTCTCCTGGAGCCTCAGTATTGGCAGTGCTCTTATCAAGCTTAAGAGATGTATGATTTTGTTATGTTTTGTACTTCTACTGCAGTCTGATTTGTTGAAAGTGAAGCTGAAGAAGTAATGGGGAAGGAATATAAAATACTGGAAAAATTTAAAAAACAACAAATAGTCTAGCAGCACCTTAAAGACTAACAAAACATGTAGATGGTATTAAGGATATTTAAATTGTGGTTAATTGACTAGTCAATAGAACTTCCATCAACTACTCAACTAGCCGATAGGCACTTCTGCATTCTTCCTTTGAAATGTACAAGAGCCCGCTTGGGGCTGCACCCAGTGTGCCTTCTTTGAAATGTACAAGAGTCCCCAGTGGGGGCTCTTGTGCATTTCAAAGCCGTGGAACCCAGGGTCACTGGGAGACTCCCCAGTTGACCCCAGGTTCAGTGCAGCATTTCAGCAGAACCCGAGACAGCTGATCCCGAGATCAGCTGGGGAATCCAGCTGAAACATGGTGGCGGTGTTTCAAAGGGGCAGCGCTGCACAGCTGATCCTCAGTTCAGCTGTGCAGCACTGCCACTTTGAAGTACCCCTTCTTCTCCTTCCCTTTGCTGCCTCTGTGATAGAGGTAACAAGTGGAGGTGAATCGGATTGTTGACTGACTAATCGATAAGCATTTGCTTATCGGATAGTTGACTAGTCCCTAACATCCTTAGAAGGTATCATGAGCTTTTGTGGGTACAACCCACTTCTTCAGATGAATGGAATATACCATTCATTGTGCCCAGGAAAGCTCATGATACCATCTACATGTTGTGTTAGTCTTTAAGGTGCTGCTAGACTATTTGTTGTTTTTTAAGTTTTTCCAGTTACAGACTAACTCAGCTACCTCTCTGAAGCTTATAAAATACTGGATACTTACTCCAGAGATCCCAATGCATTATCCCTTTGGGGCAACGGACCACTATTTCGTACTGTTTTCGCAATGCTGAGTACAGTGGGGCTGAGGACTAGAGCTGCTAGGTCAGCAATGGGCAACCAATAATAGTGGTTTTCATGAGTTGGACCTCCTTCATCTCAGTGGGCAGTATGACTAGTGGTCTGCAGCCTGCTGGGGTTCCACTTGTGGCCTGCACACCCCCTGTTTGCTCCCATTACCCATGCACCCCTCGCACACTGGGG